GACTCAAGGCCCGCCCCAGGATCAGACCGTCCGTCCGTCCTGCATGCCTGATGCATTCAGCGCTTGCTTTGCGACTGCGGGTACCGCCTGCCTCTGGCGTGGCAGAAGTAGGCAGCCTGGGTAGCCACCACCCGCCCTCCTCATTTCTCTGTATCACCTCGTCCGCCACCCCGTCCACTCCGCACATCCTCTACTTACCTCCCCGCCAACCCACCCATTCCGTACCTCCACCCCCAACACATCTTCTGGTGCAACCCACCCACCCATTCAACCACCCAACCATCCACACACCCAACCACTCAACCAACCATCCGCCCAACCACCCACCCACCCAACCGCTGGGTGGGTGCACCCACCTGGGAACGAAAGGTCCCAAAGCTCCCGCAATCCTTCCTGGTGCAGGGGATTTTCCGGGTCGTACGGCACACCAATGCGCGCCTGCAGCTCCTCCAGGCGGGAGGCCTGGCCGCGGCGCGCGCGCATGCGGCGCGTGGCGGCAATAGGCATGGGGGCGAGGAGACGCGCGTGCTGGCATGCGCATGCTGCAGAAGGCTGTGTCGCATGACATGCTGTGTCAGCAAGCGAGGCGGCTGCTTGTTGGCTCGGGTGGCAACGCGACTGCTGCCTTGTTCGGACGTCTGTTTGAGGCCTTGGGATTCATAGCCTGGGGGCCACCCACCTGCAGCAAGCTGAGTGGCGCCCGCCCTTGGCCAATCAGGCTCCGCAGGCAGCTGGTGAGGGCGCCTGCGTATGTGGTTGGCGGCAGCCGAGGCGATAGCTCACTGCTGGGCAGGCCGGGGTGCACCGCAGGCCCGGGGGCTTGTCCGTCAGCAGGCGCGCGCCAAGGGTGTAAGCGTACCGCGGCCGAAACGCCCGCCATCGTGACATGCCGGCAGGCGCGGCACTCACGTATCAAGTCGTTCCACCGCTCCCACACGTATCGGAGGAAAGCTTCCAGGTCGAAGGGGCGGTGCACAATCAGCTGTTGCTGCGGTGTGCGCCGCCCCTGCTGCGGCGCCTGCTGACCCGACGCCTCGTCCTCTGGGCCCAACAGCGCCTCGTGGAGGCCGTCTATGCCGCCATCGCCTGAGATCAGCGGCAGGTGCTGAGCTTGGCGAAATCGCAGGTGGACACAAGGCGCAGAACTATGTGGGCTGGCCACCAGCACGGGCGCGACACGCAACGCTCGGGCGGGGCGCATCGGCGCTGCGGGAGCTGCTCTGGCCTGACTCACGTGGATCCCGCGCAGCTCGCCGCCTCATGATTATATGTGGGGTATAGTTGGTGTTATATGTTGGTATGTTGTGCCCCTCGCTAGTACAGCAGCGCAGGGCGCATGCAAAAATGTGCAGATCTCTGTGAAACGCGCCGCGGCCCCGGGTATACCATACATCATGCCTCAATCGATAACTTTCGCATGCGATCGTGTCCCAGACTACGGTAGCTGAGCCCTTGTCGCGTGCTGAACATCTAGCACAAGCATCCAGCAGCTTCACAACTTATTAGACATGGGCGTTTCACGCCCGTGCCAGGCTGCCGCCGCCGCTTACTCTCATTCCACAGCGTGTGGGGCATGCACCTACAGAGTATTTCTCCTTCAAGATGGGAAATTTCCCAGTGAAATTCTGCCTCGGAAATCAAGGGTCAGGACACCATCACTGTCATGGATGGATCGCTTTGAATCATTGAAGCAAGAGCACTCCAGCGGCGGGCACCCGCCCCCTGCACTCCGTTCTACGATATCACGCCTCACCCGTTTGAGCAAATAATGATGGCAGTTGCGGTCGCTAAGCCCGATGCAACACCGACAGAACTTGGAGAGGTTGGGGGAAGGGGGTGATCAGAACCGTGCATAGGGCAGCAACGAAAGCGCACAGTGCAGCACTTGACATGTGGAGGCTTGACTGCTCAGGACATCTGCTGTTGTTGAGAATGCCCGATGGGCACGTCAGGGGCTCAGCTTTTGCAATTGGCCGCGAAACGTGCCTGAAGTGAAGCCAGCACCCAGTCCCGCAAAGAGCACCTCAGCATTGCGGTTTGTGTGTGTGTGTGTGTGTGTGTGTGTGTGTGTGTGTGTGTGTGTGTGCGTGTGTGTGTGTGTGTGTGTGTGTGTGTGTATTTGTGTATGTGTGTATGTGCATGTCCGTTTTGCGTGCGCAAGTGCGCGCGCGTGCGAGCAGTTGGCCACAGTGCGGAGTGTCACCCCGGGTGACAGCCTGCTGCACGCACACGTCTGCAAGCTCTCTGCAGATGCATTTATGGCCAGGCTGGGCCGCTCGAGCCATTCATCATAACGTGGCCGAGGCGCAGAGCCAGTCAGCACCTGGTCAGCAGCGGCGGCACCAGCTCGAGCTCAGCTGCCTCTGGCGCGTGGCCATGCGGGGGGCCCTCCTGCAGCTGCTGCGGCCGTTGCAGTTTGTAGGGCTTGGTTCCATGCTTGGTTGTTTCATACAGGCGGCAGCAGATCAGCTACCGTATTCCATACTGTTGGGCTTGCCATATCCGGATGCACCATCATTCGCTCTTGTCGCAGACATGTGAATCAATTCACACACTCTGCACTCTACTGCTGTGATACTTGCCAGCGCTCCGTGCATTGTGACATCCCTAGCGCTCATTTCCAGCCCAAAAGCTTCGAGCGGAGGCGAGTGGCATGGACGAGGCGGTGCAAAAGGTGTGCAATGCGTCGGCCCATTGATCCCCGCAAAGATCCCGCCATGAGCACGCGCGTCGCCCGCTCTGCGCCAACCGCTGCCGCCCGACCCCGCCCAGTATGCACCCGCCGCCCTGCCGCACGCCCCACCCTCGCCTCCCAAAACAGGCCAAGAGCCAGGCCGACCGCGACGAGCTGCTGCTCTGGGCCGCGGCGCGCGGCCTCCTCGCAGACGTGAGCCGCGCCGC